AGTGCAATGGTAAACTGTGGTAATATGAATGAAATTAACAATAAGACTGCTATTTCTACTAAAAGTCATGATTATGGGAAAAATATTGATAAGTCTACATTATCAGATAAAAGAAATGATAAGAATATTGAAATTAATATCGACTTCTCAGAGATTGATTGTCAAAAGAAAATGATTATTTTTACTACCTCTACTAGTACGAACACACACACATACTTATTTACAACTTCTGAATTGCGAAATTTAATAAATGTTATAATAAAATGTAGTATATTTTTTCAGGAGATGCTAATGAAACAGGTAACTGTGATAATACAAATAGAAATAAAAAACTTATATCTCTAAGAAATGTAATTCTGAGAATCAAATTGACGTAACTATATCTCCACAGTAAATGCACATTAATGATAAATATTTTTATAAGATACAGATATTGTAATGATAACATAAATAGTTAATCTCTTATTATATTTTTAAATAATACTAGCACACGCTGTGATAATATGAAATTAATACTGAGACTGCTATCTCTACTAAAAATCATGATTATAGAAAAAATATCGAATCCACATCTTCAATGTTAGATGAAAAAGGTTCTAAAAACACTGAAACTAATGTTATGTTCTCAGAAACTGATTGTCAGAAGGAAATGACAGTTTTTATCTCCACTAAGAATATTATTTTTTACGAAAACTTCTCAATTGCGAAATTTGGTAAATGTTTTGATCAAATTTAATTTATTAATTCAGGAAATATTAACGAAACCGATACTTGTGAGGGTGCAATGCGAATGAAAAGACTGATAATTTTAAAAGACAATGTAATTCTATGAATCATATTGATATAGCTGTGTCTTATGATAAATATACATACAAATATTTTCATACAAGTTTCAATTATTATAAACATAAATAATAAATATAAATAGTATATAATAACTTGTAATATTTTTAGGTAATACTAGTGCCATGATAAGCTGTGATAATATGAGTGAAATTTACAATGAGACTACTAAACGTATGTTGTCCGAAACTTACTTTCTACTATATTACATTACAAAAGTACAAAAATTTAAATAGTATAAGAAGTATACGTTAAAACTTTGTGTATTTAAAACTTAGTCGACTTGAAATATTTTAAAAGTGTTCTTTTTGAGTTATTTTCTACATCCACTACTATTTTGTGTTAACATAAATTGAGCACAAAACAAATGTATATTTTTTCGTTTCTCGTTTAACAAGTACGTAAAATAATAATTTTCAGTAATAGTTTATGAATATAATACAGACAGAATCATAAATGTTTTCGGAACTATCAGCTATTACAAGTAATGCGCATTGCTTCTACTACTCTTATAATATATGGTTTGTCATAAAATAGACTAATTGTGGAAATTTCAAGTGTTCTGGAATAACCTATTACCTATTACTAATGAATATGCAAAATCGACGGAAATTGGGTGTTTTATTATTTATTGTAATAAACATATAAAATATTTATATGAACAATAGTATTACAAACAATTTCTCATCAAAATAAAGAAATTTAGTTTTGTTTGTTTCAAAATAGGCCTTTTAAGGTTTAGTTTACTATATAATGTCACTTCACTATATAAACTGTAATATAAATAAACTTGCTTTTATTTACATAAAGTGATTTAATCAACCTAATTCCTAAAATCTTAGTTTTTCTTACTCATATACATTATCAAGATTTAAAACGTTAATACATAGAGAAAAATTGTAACATTTATTAGAAACTTTGGTTTTATGATAGAAATGCTTGTAGTATTTATGTTAGATTTTAAGGAAGAATAACAAAGTAGTTTTTACTTTTATTAACGTGTTCTATTATTTATCTTATCAAAGAAAGTTGAGATTACTACAAGCATTTCTGTCATAAATGTACCTCACATATATATAAAAACATCGTCCCCATAATTATATTCTATCTATATGTAAAAACATGTTACATATTTTTTTCTAATTCAAATTATATTCCGGATAAATTAAACTTTTCATAACAGATATGTATGATCTCTCATTTCAAGATAAAAAATATTTAGAAACACATATATATCATAAAAAAAGAGGTAAATGCAAGCTTTTCTTTTTGACAATCAGTCTCCAAGGACTCCAAATTAATACCAATTTTAGCACTTCTTCCATCTGACAATAGAAATGAAAATTTATCGATGTTTTTCTCATAATCATGGCTCTTAGTAGAAATAGCACACAGTCGCATTATTAATTGTTATTAATTGCACGCAGGTCAACACAGATGATCATTGCATTAGTATTACCTAAAAATATAACAAAAGATTGCTATTCATGTTTGGATTATAATAATTAACAATAAAATATAATGATAATAATTTAGTTACAGAAATACTTGGAAAATAAATTTGTACTTACTATAAAATACAGCTACATCAATATGTTTCTTAGAATTACATTGTTTCTTTGAGTTATTAATCTCTTCATTTATATTTGCATCATCACAGTTACTCATTTTGTTAATATTTCCTAAATAAATATAATAAATTTCATTATAACATTGATTAAATTCCACAATTGAGAAGTATTTGTAAATAATTATATGTACTTTAGAATAAAGATGTCATTTTCTTTATATCACTTACATATAACAATTTTAAATATTTCACATATATATAAAAAATCGCCCTTATAATAATATTTTATCTATATACACAACACATGTTGCATATTTATTTCTAATTCAAGTTATATTCTGAATAAAACAATCTTTCATAATATATATATACCTTTCATTCAAAGCTAAAAAAAGTACTAAAAAAACACATATCACGTAGAAACAACGATCACAAGAATCCATTGAAGTGCTTAGAAGTTAGTGTATATTTAACGCATGGTAAAGATTTAAAGATTTTTTTTAGATTTAATGTCTCTAATAATTTTAATTTCGTGAAAAAATTTAATAAAAAAAATTAATTAATGCAGACAGAAAAAAGATGCAACTTTAGGGAAATCTTTTCTTATTGTAAGGCAAAAATGAGGAAACGTACAAATGTTCTTAAACACGTTTGTCTACCAATTTGAACAGGAGAGATGTGGTAGATCGTGGTTTATGATTTCCAAATCTAAAGAAGCGGACTTGCGTTTGGATTATGCAACTTGATTTCTTCGTATAATGTGTTTTCGATCCGAGTCAGCAGGAATATTAGGACACTCTTGTTCTTTATACTTTCTAATAAGACCAACAGGCCAGTCATTGTGTACAACCATTGACTTCCTGCTAAAAAATAAAATATCCTTACAAAACAGCTAACTAATAAAATAACTACACATTGAAAACAATATAATAATTATTAAAAAATTTAAAGATAAAAATGTGATGGTGTGTATTGAAGTTCAAAATTGCAAAACACTAATGCAATACTTACTATTGGTATCTGTCAATAAACTTAGGTAACAATGCTGTCACCGAAGGAAAGACTTGTATCAAGCAGATATTATTCTCGTCTTTTAATATGACCGGGATCGCAGCTTTCTCCAATGTACAGTAGCCTCCAATGATTCGTTCCTTGACCCCCTCTGCGGGGCAAGGAAATAGGAGTATAGTCATTACGCCATTGGCTATCTTCTATTTCCCCTTGCCCCG